ATTGGGGGCCCGTTTCTCCAATCTGAGCTCTTCCGGTACCCTTTCCAGCCTGCAAAAATTGATGCTCGAGCCCAAATGGGTTGCTAGTTTTCAAAAACGTCCGTGCTCTTTAGAGGGTCCTGAAGGACACAAAAATCCCTCAACAATCCTTCCGTGCCCTGTGGATTTGCTTTCGGAACGCATGTCAATTTGAATTTGGTTTGGGGGTGGGGTGCAGACCTTGGAGAAATGGATGCAGGGTCGGCGATTGACCTCCCCTCCATGGCTAAAGCCAGGGCCATGGCCTGCGGCAGCAACCCCAGACCGTTGCCCGATTTAATGGCTGACGCCGTGCCGCAAAAGAAGGGGTCGAGGCTGCAGTTATTTGGCACAAGCCCCCGGCACGAAGACTGGCGTTATAGGTAGCGGGCTGAGGTGTCTCAGCGGCGGTGGGGGGTGTAGGGTTCACGGCTGAGGGTCGAAGTTCTTGGATCCGAATCTTCAAGCCCACAACCGACAAACCCCAACGTTGGTCCCATGTCCCTGAAGCCCTAAGTCTCGAGTCCATGAGCTACATACCCTGAAGCTCCACATCTTTCCAGATCAGGGTGCGGTCGGTGCCGCCGCCAAAGGTTGCTGCCAAAGCTGCGGCTTGGCCTTGTCAAGTAGGTTTCCTTTATGTCCAGCATCATGCCACGAGCTTAGCCGGGCTACAGCACACAAGCCTGAGCGCCAAAGGTTTAGGGTTTCAGGGTCATAGGATTCGTTGATGTGTCTGTCACTATAAGGCTAGCCGAACCCTTGGCCCAAAGTCCGCAGATCCAGCTGAAAATTCACACCTTGAATCCCTAAACCATAACCACAAACATCTATAGCTCCTTAACCTTAAATCCCAGACTGTGAGGCCCTGGCATGTCGTGCAGGGCACGGCGTGTCAGATGTAAAGCCATGCCCCTCAACATAGGTTACGAAATTTCCTCCAAGGACTACAGGTCTTCGCACTTTTCAGCAATCTGTCTTGATGTAAGGACGGACCGATATTTTGTGGGTTGGGGGCTTTCTAGTTTGTTGAAGAATACCTTCTTTTGGCGTACGGGGCTTGATACATAGGAGTTGCCGCGAGTTTCTTAGGGCTTGACTACATCCCAAACCCTGAGCCCAAAGTCCCGAGCGTAGACCTTGAAGCTTACAGATTCCAGGGACCGCGGAACCAGCCACCGGCTCAGTCGGGCTCTGAGAATTGCATTGCCGAAGAGACACTGGATATATATATATATGTATATGTATATATATATACATAGAGAGAGGTATTGTATGTATCCATAATTTTCTGTATAGTGTGTGGAAATCTGCACTGCTAGAGATTATCAGGGAGTTGATGTGGGAGTCCTTCGTGTGAAGCATTCCCTCCGGCTGTCTGATTATACTGGGGTACATATATAATGTTAGGGGTCGGGGTGGGGGTTTTTCCGGGACTAGGGGGAGTGGATTTGGGGGTATAGGTTTTGGTGTATCCTGAGCAAATGCCCGGTGTCTAAACATGATTGGTCCCTGTTATGGGCACTGTTAGGGATCTGCATAGCAATCATGCCACCATTTTGTGGGCGCATAGGGGAGGCCCATGTCAATCTGAATTCCAAGAGGCCCTGAGAGGATATGTGCAACGCGATCCCTGGATGGCCTGTAGGATAGTTGTCACGGCTTGAAGCTGAGGCACTGGGCCAAGTACTGACATGAACGGCAATTAGAAGGAATAGCCCGGTTCACAAAAAGCCTCGAACCCCAAAACCCGAGTGTAGCTGCGGCTTTCGGATCAGCTGGAAGCATTCCTGCATGGGTAATGTGCCGCCACAAGGATCCAAACACTCTTCTCACGACTCCAGAGCTTCAGAACCACGTAAGCCGAAAGGGACACGTAATGGACAGGTCTGGTAGGAGCTCCTTGTGAGCCATTGCTGGCAGTGTGGTTGCTCATCAATACTGCATCAGATTCCTCACTTTCTTGAAGAATCGAAAGCATCATTAACTGTAGCTCACCTGGGAGTTTCTTAAAGCATCGGATAGGAATACACCCTTGTTGCCCGGTTTAAGGATTCCTTGCAGGATCCACTGTAGGGAGTCCTACTAGCTCCATTTCCAGAAGCAGCCCTCACATGCTGCAGACCCTGCCCTGAACTTGCAACCCATGTAGAATGAGCAACACATGTTTGAGTCTCTTTTTTTTCCGCCGCGTCTCTCTCAATGATAGCCTGGTGCATATGTAGTTGACACTTGAGCACCCTGGTCCTAAGCCCCATAAACCACACCGCAAGCCCGGCACTGCAAGAGGCTTTGATTCCCAAGCTTAAATTCCACAAACACAGCCTTACCAGGGTTAAGCCACTTCGGGGTTTAGGGTTTGGGGTCCTCCAACGGTTGAGGCTGTGGGGTGTAGGCTTCACGGCTGAGGGTCGAAGTTCTTGGATCCGAATCTTCAAGCCCACAACCGACAAACCCCAACGTTGGTCCCATGTCCCTGAAGCCCTAAGTCTCGAGTCCATGAGCTACATACCCTGAAGCTCCACGTCTTTCGAGATCAGGGTGCGGTCGGTGCCGCCGCCAGCGCCTCCCGCGCCTCCCCAGGCTGGGTAGGTTTCCTTTTGTGCAGTAACATTCCTCGAGCTTAGCCGGGGCTACAGCACAACAGCCTACGCATATCCCTGAACTACCTGGAGCCAAAGGTTTGGGGTTTCAGGGTCATAGGGTTCGTTGATGTTTCTGTCACCGCAAGGCTAGCCGAACCCTGGCCCGAAGTCCGCAGATCCCTTCCCTGCAGCATCTTGAAGCTAGTTAGGGCAGAGCCTGAACATCCTACACTGAGCACTACGCCCACAATCCCTAAACCTCACACCACATCAACGTAGGGGACGACGTTTCATCGAAGGGCTTGAACTTTGGAGCCAGGTCTTATCATACAGCTTTGGAAAGCAAAGGGGGGCTCCGTGCCAACAACCTTTCAAGATGCAATGCTTCGTCAAAAGATTTTGTTATCATCAGGGGAACCAACGAGGATCCCAGAACTGTAAACCGTTATCCCCCGTGTTGCAGGAGCTTGAGGGCTTGAATGATATTGATCTGGCCTCCAGAAATAACTTTAAAACGCGGATGCTTGCAAGGTTCATGGGCTCATGGTCTGCCAGGTTCAGAATCAAACGCTCCTTAGAGGAAGTATCCAGTACAGTTTGTATGGAGCAAAGGTGGCTCTAGCCGTCAGCCACCAGCTGAACGTCATGTGACTCAATTTGGAGGGTTGACCTTTATGCCAAGGGGCACATCCCAGAGTCTGTGGGGTCCGAGTGTCTTAGCTGGGTAGAAGCCAGACGTCGGAATCACAGAGTCATGCAGTATGCTCGCAATTCTGACCATGAAGCTCAAAGCTTCCCGCGCTAAATGCTGAACGCCTTATGGCAGCTCGGAACCATACACCTCTAACATGCTAGAATTTCTACAAGCGCCCCAAACCTTAAAGAATGGAATCCATCAGCAAGTGCTACAGACAATTGTGCTGAATCCATTTGAACACGCCAACCAAGGTGGATCCCGCCACGGTTTTTCTCCTCCGCATCGGTTCCTCGTCTGAGAACTATGGTTCGCACTGCTGCTAAAATTCCGTCCAGGCCCTTATGCAATGTCATTTGTCCGGGGCATTGGCCCCTTCCAGGTGGGTTTTAAATTCTTCCCCCTGAAGAGAACAAATGCACCCATCATCCCCCGATACAATTATGAACCGCATGTCTGCGCACGAGTCCCCTTCTACGAAAGCGCATGCAGCGAATACGCTTTGTCAAGGGCTATTTAGTATTTTGCACTTGTGTGTTTGTGTGTGTGTGTGTGCGCGCGTGCTGCCTTGCTTAACTGTGTTTGGAAGCTGCGCTTGGAAGAAACATGGCTGAACCAAGAAGCCCCAGGGCCGTGTTTTAGGCTGCAGGATTTTGATGCCCAGAGCGTTCGCGTTTGGGCTTCGAAGGTTTTCCAGGTGTTGCGGTTCTTCCGTACCTTCCGTAGAACCATGGGCTGGGATTGACAGCTCAGAGCAGGGACCGGCGGTTCAGAATGGGGACGTGCAGCTTTGCACACCACACCGGGCTGGGAGCAAGCATCAGAGATGGATTGGCAGCAAAAGGGCTGGTTCCTCCACTTGGTAACTCCCAACTGGAAAGTTTCGTAGCCGGATAAATTTCCGTTTTTCAATGTGGTTTGATATTTTATCTTTCAGGTGGAGTTGCTTGGGAGGCCTTGGCAGTTGAGAGTATTGGTCACAATACGGGTAGGTAGGTCATTGAAATGGTTGCCAATTGAACATGGATACGGATTGGTGGTACAGAGCAAGGTTCAGCAGTCGTCTTGCTCGGAATAGGCACGAGCATCTCAACATATGTTTTTTGTAGGACGTGGCTAGCTCAGAATAGGGATTGGCAGCTCGTGTTCGGTTTTGGTATGAATGGGGGCTCAAAGCTAGCAAATGATCCTGATCCTCATTGGTCAAGCACTATTCAATCCAGAGTTGCTCGTAGTATTCAATCAAGCACATCACCAATTTTTGAACGGACGGGTTTTCACAAACTGCTTCAGAAAGCAGATGAGCAAGCCAATGCTGTAATAGCACCTGCAGCATGCAGTGCTTGCTTCAGAGCCCCAAGCCCGCAGTTCGGAATGCTAAAGCATGACTCCAAGGAGCCACCCAAAGTCCAAGAGGAACATGGCGAACCGCAGATGGACAGGCCACTCAGTTGCATGCAGGGGTTCTCGCGTTTACATCGGCTGGCGGTTGTTGCCTTCAGGTCGCTCTTCTTTGGTTGTGAAGTCCGTGGTGCATAGGCCTTCGAAGAGGGCCTCCCATATTTGCGAGCAAAAGCATCAACAGGTTTTGCAACCAAAGCCTTGGAGGCTTCATGCGCCTATTTAAGCCACGGTTTTCCGATTTATGTGGAAGTTTTCTCTTTGTTTGTTCGGATCCAGGATCCTGAAGAATTTCCGATGCTTTCCTGGATGCATAGCAAAGGTTTCTGTTTCAGGGTGGGTGTCTGGGGGTTAGGAGTCGACCAGCGTCCGCGTGTTTGTGCGCATGAAGTGTTCACAAGCATCAGGGCACCGCTCCTGAGTCTCGCGACGCTGTCTCGTCTCAAAATGATCTTCTGCATGGATCCTTGTAGCTTCATCGCGCTTCACAAGCGCCAGGCATCGCCTTCAAAAACTGCACCTGGCTAGACAGAGGGTTGGGGGAATGTGGAGGCAGATAAGGTGGGTGGGGGGTGGAAACGGTGAAGGGGGTGGCCACCCATTCGGCTCCCTGAAAAACCACAGAACGGTGCCAGCGAGGGAGGGGGTGCGGGGGGTGGGGGGGTGAGGGGGGCGTGGAGAGAGTGTGCAGGCATGAGCGGGGGGGGGATGGAGATGTCGAGGTGGCACCAGGCCATGATGACCTGGCTAGACACGAGGGACGGGCAGACAGGAAATGAAGGAAAGAGGGCAAACAAAAGGGAAATGGCGGTAGGGAACAGCAGGAGGTGAGAGAACCAGGAAAAGAGTTGGGGTGGTAGGTTTGCGAGTAGTCACAGGCACCTGCTGGGCGCTGCCCCTGGGGTCGGCGGATAAACAGCAATAAGCCAGTCAGTCTTTAAATCCTGTTTGCCAGCCGTTTGGCAGGTGTTGGCGCCACCTCCGGTGTTCAGGCTATGGGTCTTCACAAGTTTGAAGATTAGGGTTTTTGTGTTTCCAGAATGCCTGGACTTGAGGTGTGATTGAGGGTTTCAGGGGTTCCCTGTACATAGTGGCATGTCTGCGCACCGCAGAGAGACCAGCCTCGATTAGGATTATGGTTATTCATATTCTGCAATGACACAAGAAACGCGGGTGATAGCTCCAAGGCATGCAAGTGGTCCTGCTTAGAATTCAGGAATGCCTGCATCCCTGAACCCTACACCATGTTGATGCGTGACATTTTCAAGTGATAGGCCCAGGGTTTATAGATCGGCGGAAGCTAGGATTATAAATGCCAAGTGAGGCGCTTTGGAGTTCGGATAGCGTTATACGGTCTTCTTAGGCCTGGGAAGGAAGACCAGGCACGAAACTCATGTTGTGCGGTCCTTCTGCTCAACCATCAAGCTAAAAATGCCGCTCGACACTGGAAACCTCAGGCTGTACTGTGATGGTGTACAAATTTCGTGAAAAGTTGTTTCATTCTGTAAGTGTGCAGGGCTTTCTCAAAAACAGGTTGGCCCGGTACCTTGTCCAATTACTTCAAGGATCCAAAATGACGATCGTGGAAGTATCAGCAATATCTGCTGCAGTTTTCGTAAGGCTGCTTGGGCTCCCGACGCAGTCACACAAATTCAGATGCTTGTGGCAGGGTTTTTGTGAGTCATCTCAAGAATTTGGGGCTTGTTGAAGCATTTTGCAAAGGAAGGAACACCGTGTATTCGTTGGTTCAGTGATTGGACTCCCGTTTGGGGAGCCTGCCTCTCAAAAGGTCTACGGGCCCTAGTCGCTTTTGTTCAGCCTATAGCTGTTTGCGCACTTCTCGTCTTGCTGCAAAAATATGGATATTTCACAAAAAATCCCTTATGCAATCTGTGATGGGAACCCCCACATTCCACCTGCGGGTGATAGGTGGCCTTGCAGTGGTCCATAACATTGCCTGCAGGGTCCTGGTAAAGGACATATGTAGGGATTGTACAGGGGAGTTATGTCCGGTTTAGGGATATTATCCCCCAACAATGGAGAACCAAGTGAAGAGAAAATCGAGCTTCGCGAAGCCGTAAGCCCTTTTCGAAACTGGGCTTATATAGGGGTTCCATGAAAAACCGCTTTGGAGGCCTCGGCCACCAAACACCACATCCAATGTTCCTCCTGGCCTGCCTGGGGCTCAGTCAAGTGATAAAGTGCTTGAGTTATATTGTCCCTTTTAGGTCCGTAAAGGGTTTTTTAGGGTTTAGGCATGTAAAGGGTACCTAGGATTTCTCGCAGAAGAAATATCCTATGGCACTTGTAGGTTATCACCAGGCTATATCCCATGACTTCCTTAAACATTGTTATTGTTGATAATACGCGTGTTGAGCATAATATACCTGCCTGCGTGCTGAGTCCGCGGCTTATGGGTGCGGGAGATTCTAAATACATAGTCATTGAAAGATCTGACCCTAAAAACATTCTTTTTAACACATTTCCTGGAGGTTTCAACTTGTTTCTGTCGTCCTCGCATTGATGAACATTCCCCTTTGACCATTCCCAAGATCCTGGGCTTGCTGCTTCAGACAAAGAATCAAGGAAACCTCCAGGTGGGCAGTTATCAGGGGGTACCCTTAACGGAGGCCTACATGACTACATATAGACCCCTTTTTGCTTATGAGCCTTATATGAGTCTAGTATGAGGCTGATGCAGTCATGTGCGACCAGCAGGGCTGGAAATGGGCATTTCTCAAAATCATCCCTCTCTCATCCCTACCCTAAACCTTAAACCTAAACCCAAAACCCATAATCCTCAGATCGCGTAGGAGTCCCTGAGGGATGCAGGGCTGACGGTTTAGGGAGTTTTGGGTTTAAGGTGCCAAGTTGGTAGCTTGGCGGCTCGCAATTTGGAGCTTGGTGCTTAAATCAGGGTTTTGGGTTTGGGGGGGGGTTCAGGACTTGGGCCAAGCTTCTCGTAAACAAGTGTGTTTTTTACCTTCCCTATGCTCTCATGCGCTCGGTGCACGCGCACGAGGATGCTTGGATGCTTAAACCCTAAACCCTAAACCGTGTGAATGTCGGAGCATGTCAGGATGAGGGAACTCGTGGAGTAGAGCGGCCATGAGTGAGTCAGCTTGGTCATGTTCCATTTCCTCTACTTCCTCATGCTTCAGAAGGGTGCAGGAAGAGTCTCTCAAAGCTCTTGACTCGCGCAAGGGTAGATGCTCAGGATATCTTATGGTTCGAAACATTCATGTTGCCGTGCTCCCCAAAAACAAACCACCTTAAAAATTGTAAATGTGACCAAGACATCAAGCCTAGACAAGCCAATCCATACTCTTTTTCCATGCAACTACAAACCCCTGCACCCTAACCCACCCCAAATTAATTCTACAGATTTTGTGGCTTGTAGTACCTGCTGTAGGTGCTAGAAATCCCTTTTCCATGTTCGGCATGTTCTTGCGGAAGGTGATGCCAGACTCCCCGGAACCTCAGATCCCCAAAGCCTGAATCCGAAATCCCGACACCCCACATCCGTAAATCCGGAATTGCAACCAGTACTGGTTGCTGAACAAGGTCATTACCCTAAACCCCAAGCCTCAAGCTGGGCGTGTTTGGCTGGTTTTTTCTAAGGCACATTGCCCGCGCCACCCCCAACGGCCACCCTCCCCGTAATACTGCAACAATAATGGTAGCAATAGACTTACAATCATTCTAGTAGTCAAAAGAATTAAGGTAATCATAACTAGCCGTATGTATCTTGATTAATATATATACTATTTATAGCAACAAGAGCAATAATAACAATAATAGCCCCGTAATATTAGCAACAGGAATGGTAACAATAGTAATAATAGTAATTGACGATCGTAATGTAATCGTATGTGTATTAATTTACATAACTTATAGCAATAATAATGATAATAGTACCAATGATAGCAATAACAACACTAGTAGCAATAATATCATCAGTAATATCACTCACAGCAATAATAGCAATGATCGTGTAGCAGTAATAGTAACGTAGCAAGAACAGGAACAAGAGCAAGAATAGTATCAACATTAATAATATTGATATTAGTAATGCGAGTTATAGTAGTAATAGTACTACTAATAGTAAGAATAGGAACAATACTAATACGAGTAACAAGAATGATAGGCATACTAGTAGTAAGAGTAGTAGCAATAAATAGTAGTACTAATAGCAATAAGAGCAATAATAGTATGAGTAGCAATAAGAACATCCATTGAAATAGTAATAATAGTACTAATAGTAATGGTTATAATAGTGATAATAGTAAAGTAGTTAGAATAATAGAGTAATAGTAATAGGTAGTAATATAATAATGCAAATAACACAGTAACAATAGAAATATTAGGTACCCGCCCCCAAAGATCCACCGTGTTTAGGGTATTTCAAGGGTAGTAAAGCCACCTGCTTGGGGATGCTACCTTTTCCTTAGTAAAGCTTTAAGTTTAGGAGGGGTACACATCTTAGGAAAGCAACATGGGCTTATCTGCTGAAACGAGACCCGCATTTAAGTTAAATGCAGCCAGGCCCTAGAAACCAAGAACCAAGAACCATGATGCCCAGGACTCTTGAATCTTGGTTCTTGGTTCCAGGGCCTTGGCTGAATTTAAATCTGCATCTAGAAATCTAAGTTAAATGCACCAAGGCCCAGGAACCAAGAACCAAGATGCCCAGGACTCTTGATTCTTGGTTCTTGGTTCCGGGGACCTGGCTGCATGTAACTTAGATTTTTACATGCACATTTGAATGCAACCCCAGGAACCAAGAATCAAGAGTCCTGAGTATCTTGGTTCTTGGCTCTTGGTTCCTTGGTCTTGGTGCATTTAACTTAAATTCGTAAATGCAGATTTACATGCAGCCAAGGCCCAGGAACCAAGAACCAAGATTCAAGAGTCCTGGGCATCATGGTTCTTGGTTCTTGGTTCCTGGG